CCCTGACCTTTTCTTCATCTGCTGCACCTGTTCAATCCCTTCCCTTCCATTATTTTCTAATAAACTAATTTTTACAAATAAAGAATACATGTTGCACATTTTTAAAAGTGTGAGTACTAAAAAGTGTCAAAAGACAAATAAATGTTCCCCTCTTTTCTATAAACCACTGTCTCTCTCTAGATGTAACTGCTGTCAACATTTTTATGAATTCTTCTAGAAATTATTTACATATTATGTCTTTATGATGCCTGTATGTTTGCACAAATTAGATCACACACTATTCTGCATCTCGTTCGTCTCATTTAGTGCTGTATTTCGGAGATCATTTCATGTTTGCACATATAGACTACTCTAATTTATATAACAGCAGCACAATGTTTGTTGACTATTTTCTGCCATATTTTTTTTATCACCAGTTCCCTATTAAGAAATACTCAGGTTGTCTCCAAATGTGGGTGTTTTTTGTTTTATATATTTCACAACTACATACTACACAAAAAATTTAAAATTTTGCATATTGGCACAGGATCATTATTAGGAAGCCTTCATGGATTAAAAGCCATGTGCCCTTGAATCTTGATAAACGTCAACCAGGTAGTCCTGCAAAATAATGCCCTCACACATCCAAGCCCATTCTCCAAGGCTGAGAAAGCTGCATGTTTCAAAATCTCCATTCCCCAGCCCTGACCACGCCCCAGCTCTGCTCAGGCTGAAGACCTCCAGATGCTGCAGTGATTTGTTTCAGGCTCAGCATTCCTTGCTCCTCCGGAGAAGGTGCTTGTTCTGCTTTGTTCTCTGCAGTTTCCTTCTTGACAGCCAGGCCTCCATGACTCCTGCCAGAGACACAATCAAAATGCAAATGGCCCATTAACAATGTACCAAAAAAGGGCCATGTCAGCTCATGTTCTGACTTTATGATTCTCTGACTGATGGTCCAGGTCTGTCTTTGTATTCCTGCTTCACCTTGAGGAAAGTCACTTCTGACAACTCCCTGTGAAGGCACTGACTTCTGTAGCTGGTGGAATGATAAGTTCAAAGGGCGGAGGTAGCTGTGTGTGAGGCTTTGAGTATTTTTATGCACCGAGGTGGGGACGGAGAACGTGTAGGTGGGAAAAATATTAAATAACTTTTTTCTTTTCTTTTTTGCTACTGAGGATTGACCCAGGGGTGCTTCACGAATGAACTACATCCTCAGTTCTATTTATTTTTATTTTGAGATGGATTCTTGCTGAGGGTCTGACTAAATGGCCCAGTGTGAGAAATAAAAAGTCTGGGGGTCCATTTTCAGAGTATAGCCTTAATTGTATCCAATTGTAGCCATTTTAATTATAGCCCTTCCCTTTGCCCGCCTCAATTTTAAAATTAGCCTAATCGCATAGATTATAACCCAGAGCTCCTCCAATCAGGGTCAAGGGCAGTGCTGCCTTACAAATATAAACAGGAGGACTGCCAAACCTGGCCCCTTGCTGGACAGATTCTACTAGCATGCTCCTTCTGGAGGGAGTGAAAGTTTGCTTTTCCCAGCCACTTTGGAGCAACTAGATATTTTTAACACTAGGCTGGCCTCAAATTTGTGATCCTCCTGGCTTAGTCTCCCAAAATGCTGAGATTGCTAGTGCACACCATCATCCCTGGCCTAAATGACTATATTTGAGTTTGTAGGGAAACAACAAAAAGATGGCTAGAATCATATTGTGAGCTTTTCTGTTTATGGCAAATGCTCTGATATAACTGGAAGGGATGTGGCTTCAGCTGTCATGTAAGATTGTTGCTTTTCTTAACCACTCTTTAAATATTTTTAAATAAAAATTTTATGTATTTAAAGTGTGAAATCAATTCATAATGGTGAAAGTGGTTTGTTAATCCTAATCATGGTTAAACACAAGTTATTGCTGATTTCTTGACATTAATTTGCTATAAAATGAACTAGAAGTCTGGGGATATCTGATGCTACTAGAAATGTTAAATATCATCATCATAATAAATATTTTTAATTAGCATAATTTTGGTTCGGATTCGTATGAGGTTTAATTGACTCTACATGAGTATGTTCCCTATCACGTTTGAGATTCTTTTTCTTTAAGCCAAATTTCACTTAAAAACAAAAAAACCTGAAATGCATGCTAAGAACAATTACTTAGTATTTAGGTCCTAACAATTACTTAGGTTTTAGCCTATCTATATTTCTGCCCTAAAAATGAAAATAGAAAGTATTGGGGAATAATTAAATTGTGTCCAGTGGGATATTCCCCCCCCCAAGGGAGAGAAGATGGAATTGAGGGATTTGAAGCAGCCCTAAGAATATAATACTGCGCTACTGAGCAGCAAAAATCCTGCCTGATTTGTAAATTTGTGTCTCCATGGCAACACAAGTGTGTAGTTAAATAATCCTCACTCGTCTAGGCCTGAATTCCAGCGACTCTTCCTAAACCTTCATCCTATTCTAATCCCACAGCTGTTGCCATGGAAATGATCAGATAAGATTCAGTCCTGAGGCAGATGGGCCTATGGTGGAAGCTAAGTCCTGGCCTACATATAGCCACGGAAATATTGGTTCTGTTTTGTTTGCTTCCAATCTTTGCATTACAGAAAGTGGTCTCCTTACATGAGAGGTTAATTTAACATGATGTCATGAAAATCAGTCTTGGGGTTTAAGCATCTGGTGCAAATGAGGAAAAGTCAATTCCAAAGCACTGAGAAATGGAAAATCAGGAATGCTTTCTTTTAACTTCTTTCTGGAAACTTGCTCTAAGAAACAATTACAACGGGGACTTGCCCTTGGATTTGGTGTCCCATGTGCACTTTCTCTAGGCAGGTCCCCACCCCACTGGGAGAGTAGGTCACTCCAGGCCACGCCCCAGGTTTTGCCAGCAGAGGAAGTACAGGTTCATTCCTTGTTGTTCCTGAAGAGTTTCATTTTTCATGGTTGATGGGCATTTACTGTGTGCCTCCCAGGTTTGCTCTAGCTATGTCAGCAATGTCCTCAGAAGGAATGACAGAATTTTTCCTTGACTCAATTATCACCACTTTATCATGTGCACGCTTGCAAAAAGATTGCTTGCAAAGACTTAAACTTTAAGTCATTGTTTCTAAACCATATCCTGATGAAGTTGTGTTTTGATTAAAATAGAATGAAACAATACTTTATCTCTTTACTTTGAGCAGTGTGATTTCATTTATTGTGAAGTCTTTGCCAGAAACTTCTGGGGATTGGAGGTAATGGGTTAAAAAAGGCCCAAAGCTATTTTGCCTCTCAGTGAGGTAGATTCCCTGGAATATGTGAGCCTTAATATGTCATGAGAAAAAGACTAACCTCCCAGTAAAATAAGGAATCCCAGAAGTAGAACTTGAAAGTTCTATGGCGATTCAATTAGTATGAGCAGTTTTCAGATGAAGAAACTGAGGCTGAGGTTTCCCAGGCCTTACAGTTCAAGACTTGGGCATTTCCCTTTGAATATCTTCTTATGTTACCAGCTGTTTAGTGAAGGATTGAAGAATTACAGCTATTTTTATTTTTATCCCCCTTTTCCTAGGCAGCTCTAGGCAAGTTCCTGCAGTTGTTATTGATTATTCCCTTTTAGTCTTGTACTCATACATGTTATGTGCTGATTCATAAATTGTCACATGTGTATAATTTGTTCAAAAAACATTTGTCAAATTAATATATGCATTACCCGAGTCAAGGCTTCATTGCAGAGGGTTGGGAATAAGAAGCTGTGGTCAGCCTGTTCATATTTATCTTGTGCTGTATGGTTCCTCTCACTGTGGTCACAGAGAAATCGAGTGGCAACTTTCAGGACCTGCTTCTAACACTTTCCGGGGAAGTTGTATGTTTGGGGTGGTAAAGGTTACGAATTTCAATGACAGGGAGTAGAATTTCATTCTTGCTCCTCTTGACTTTCATAATTTAAGTGACACCAAAGCAAGACAAGAGCTGAATCATTTCTTAAATGAAAAATTAGAACTGAAAGCTTGCCATTCTCCAGCTATCTTCTGTGGCTCTAGCCAGTAATATGAGAAGGAGGTTGCGCTCTCTTTTATATGGCTAAAATGTGGCTATGTCACATAAGGTCCATGCCTCAATAGAACATAAGCCAACGCAATAATATTCTTGTACCCAACAGGCTATTGTTGTTGTTGTTGTTCACCCTTATGTGAATCCAAGCCCTGTAAGACACTCCAAAGCTGAAGTCTATCTCATTGCAAAGAATACTTTTCAGATGGAAAAAAAAAGTATACTTGTTCCTTGGATGGTAAAATAGTATCATTTCCACAATAACTTCTGTGTTGGAAGTTCACAATTACTTGAGGGACAGTGGATTCAGTTGTGTTTACCTTCAAATTATTCCTCTCCAGTCCAATCAGTCTCCGAATCCTCACTCACTTCTCAATAGTTCTAAAAAAGTCCACTCTCTTTCAAGTTACTTCAGCTTTCTCTTAAGACAACTTCAGTAGCCTGTTAATTAGTCTTAAGATCTCTTCTTGACCCTGCTAATATAAGAGCAAAAAAAACCTAATACTTTAAGAACCTATCTCTTGTTTAAGATCTTTCAGTGACTCACCTCTGATCTTGGAATAAAATCCAAAAGCATGATCTGTTTGAGTGGTCTTTTTCCCATCTCAGTGCATCCTGAAGCCAAATCCCCTGTATTTCCTATGCCCTGGACACATACCTAGGTTCCCAAAGTGCACACATGATTGGAATGCTTTTTTTTCCCCTCTCCCCTTCCTTTCAGGCTGATGCTACTCACTCTTCAGCCTCAAGAATCATTCCTCAAAATAAGCCTTTGATGAGCTCCCAGATTCACTCAAGTCTCACTCTTTTAACCTCTCCTTATAAGGGCTGCATAAGTTTAGAGGGATTACCACTACTGTGACTATATAGCAATACTTTTTCTGTAGTCTCTGCTAGGATGTAAGTTCCATGAAGACAAAGATCAGAGATGCCTGAAAAGTAACTGTTAAAATAATGAATGGCTGTAGCCCAGTGGAGGATGCGAATGGTCCCTGACCTGGAGAAGATTCAGTCAAAGGAAGGTAATTGGAAAGGTCACTGATGTTCAAGAATAAACAAGGAAAAAGAGCTGTCTTTAGGTTCACTTCAAATATTGAACAACTGTATTGCCAGACCCTGATCTCAGACACAAATGCCAAGATATAAAATAAGTCACAATCCCTTCTCTCACTGACTTCACAGTCCAGTGATGGTGACACACACATATGTTGGAAATACAAGTTATACTAGAATCACAGCATATACCTTTTTAAGTTCCATGAATTTAAGTATACATACCTGTCCATACCACTCCCCCCCCCACATGAAGACATCACACATATTATATTTTGTAGTGCAAGATGCCAGCATTATTTGGAAGATGGAAATATTTTGTCCTTTCTATCAGGATGGGCTCCTACAAACACCTTTCCCTGGTGAAGACGATTGCATGGCTTATATCATTGGATCCTTACCTCAAGCCAATTATTTCATCTGGTGCTCAGCTGAAGCAAAAATGGCCTGTCCCTGTGCATGTGAGAGTCACAAGGGGCTGGAGGTGTCACTGACTGGAGGGAGGAGGGGAATGGCAATGCAGTCTCAACAAAGGCCTCGGCGAGTTGCATAGAGAGTCCTAGAGCTGGATCAGCTCTCCAGGGTTGATCTGAATGAAAGCAACGGTGCTAGCCTTGGACCCCCACATTGGCAGCTGCTAGATGGAGGCTGCCCCAAGAATGGGTGTGGCCTTGGGTAAGGCATCTTTCCTAATGTGAGGGTAATCCCCCTAGAGCCATTCGGACGTTAGCAGTCAGCAGGAGACACTCCAGGCAGCAGGGGGAAGGAATGCTGTGTCTGTGGGGAGCAAGAAGCATCTACTACATCATGGGCACAGTATTTCTCATTTTCTTTTCCTGTCTTCTCTTGCTCATCCCTGGGTTTTCTTCTCAGTCAAAGGGATTTTCTAGATATCAGTGTATTGGTTAATGGCAACGATTTTGCTTACCTTCTACTTCACCACATAACTCCATCGAACTCTGTAGCCCTAACTTGTGGTCTGGGGAAGGCAGGTAAAGATGTTTGACTCTGTTTGTTTCCCAGACCTAAATCCTCTCTCATCTTCACCAGATGCTGACCATTGAGTAAATACACGCAGAAATGTCCTGTTGCTCTAGGAAAGAATTAAACATGTTTCCTAAGTGTTCTCTAGAGGCACAGAACCAATGGTTATGCATGTGTGATTATGAAAGAAGAGTTAGTGGCTTACCTGAGTAGCCAAATTGTCCCACAACAGTGTCTGCAGGCTGCAGAACTGAAGAACCAATAGCTGTTCAAGTCCAAGAAACTGGAACCTCAGAACACAGGGACCAAAGATTCAGTCTGAATCTGAGACGAAAGACCTGGAAGCTTCCTGAAGAAGAGCTGGTGAGTGTTCACATTGGTAGGGTGAAGGAGTGTGTGTCTGGTGTCCTCAGGCAATGGGAACAGCAAAAGCCATACCTACTCAAGGAGAATGGAGTTCCCATCTGCCTCAGCTTCTTTCTTCTGCGTTTGGTTCCATCTGGGTCCGCAGCCTATTCACTGTGCCCCCTACATTCAGGATGGGTCTTCCCCCTTAGTTTGCTGTTCTACATGCCAACCTCTCTGGAGTCACCCTCATAGACACAGGCAGAGGTCTCTTAATCTTAGCATTTCCTGGGTGTCTCTCAATCCAATCAAGTTGACAATCCAGATTAACCCTCACACTAAGGAAAAGAAGAGATGGATTATTTTGTCTTTCAAATCAGAGAATGATAAATACAGATTTCCGTTGGAGAATTGTGTGGCTCTGGGCAGTGCTGTGTGCCCAAGTTCTTGCTCCCTTTGAACCCTTCTAGTTTTAGAAGGAACCATTTGTTCCCAGCTGAAGTTGAAGAATGACTGGCAGGAGACTCCCAGAACTCCAGGTGGTCACTGAGATTCTCCCTCCGGCCAGTCGGAGCAGCTGGGGGAAGGAAGCATATATCTGAGAGTCAAGCTTGTTTACCTGTCTCTTTCAAGAGTCCATGTGCTCCCTCAATCAGGTTCAGACAACTCAGCTAAGTGGCATTGTTTCCAGCAGTGACAGGCTCTCCATCTTTGTCCACCAATTATGTGCACTAGGCAAAGGGTAGTTATTTATAAACACTTTGTTCTGAATAAGCTGTCAGTGAGGCCACAGTCCTTTCAGCAACACACTCTATTTTTCCAGGGCTCCAGCCCTTCCACATCCCTCCCCTTCTCTGCTGCTCTTTCTCTCCGAGATACAGTGCTATGGAATTGTCCAAAGCGACCATCCCTTTCCGGAGAAGGAATGAGAAGGTCGTGAAGGTGGGATTTTGCCACCTGTCTCTGCACATTTGGACATAAACCCTACCAAGGCCAAAAGCAATTAGACATTCAAATCCTTCCTTTGTAAGCTTATTACAGACATGTTCAAAGTTCTTACATTCTTCCCAAAGAAATTGTCAGAAATCTTGTCACATTTCTGGAACTCCTTCCCCTTTGGGACAAGCCTGCCACTGAAATTTCTTTTTTCTTTTTAGCCTGGAGTTGCCATATTGGGGCCTGGATGGAATCCAGAATCACAGAGACACTTAGAAATTGGGCAGACTCTTTGGAAATAAAGTTAGCTAAGGAATTTTTGTTCTTTTCAGCTTCACTGTATGAAATCTCTGTCATTCAGAAGGAAAATCTGGAAGTTTCTTTACTCACATGTATTCATTGAGAATTAAAACTAAAGATCCCAGCTTAAATTCATTTCTTTTCCCCTTACCACTAAACCATGTTCCCAACTGCCCATTGATCCAAGACTGTATGCCTCTCCACAGGCACAGAAGAACAAGGCAGAAATCCAAAGATCCCAGGCTTCCCACAAAGGGAGGGATGGATGATCAGTGAAGGAGAGGAAGGGAAGCAGGAATTGAGATTCATACTGACCCTGCAGGTAAATGAAGTCAGCCAAAGCAGGAGCTTTTAGAAAATGAAGGTATTTTATATTAAGGTTTGTGTTGCTTTCTTTTCTGAAAACACAACATCTAGTTCTTCTAACAAATTACAGACTAAATCATGTGAAAACAAACATGCATTTAGGAGGACAACACTCCCAATCATAGAACCTTGAAAATATGAGCTTGTGACACACCATATCAATTAATTGATGCATGACATGAAAAATGCGATTACAAGAAGAGAAAACATTGGCCATATTGTGAAGACCGTTTTTTCAGAATGATGTCCAGCCTGGCCATTCCCCTGATCCTGTTTATTTGACTTCTCCTTGTGGTCAAGTCTGGTGCTCATGTTCTTGTCCTTGGGACCATTTGAGCAAATAGCTTTGAAAACAAATATTTCCAGTTTTTCCTTGGGACTCTTTCATTATGTTCTGAATTCATTATTGTTTCTAACCTCATTTCATTACTAATTTACATTTGCTTTCCTACCAGGAGGTCAGAAGCTTTTTCTTATAAGGAAATGTAAATTGTTGTATTTCTGTTTTTTCCATTAAGCACCTACCAGTTGGGAATTATGTGTCATTCTTTGTTTCCCAAGGAGGATTGAATGAATCAGAATGTAAAATGTGTAAAATGCCTCAGGCTTCTTAGAAGAATAATATTTTAGAAGTTAAAAAAAGAAAGAAATACAGATTTATAAGTATCTCAGAAAATAGTCCAGATTTAATCAGCACAAATGTAGCCCATTACAATGTAGCCTTTTGGACTAGACACGATCAGGACTCAGGAGGCTGGGTCTCTACTCCTACTGTGCATTTGGCCTTGGTGCCAAATGGACCTTAGCCTCATCGCCTTGAGCTTGCACTTCTTCGTGTGTGAAATTAAAATAATAATATCTGCCCTCTATGCCCACAGGGCTATTCTGAGGATCAAATAAAATATTGTTTGTAAAACCAATGGAAATGTAGATGGTTTTGGCTGTGCATCACTAGCCATAGCCCATATTTGAGGACCATAATCATGATGATGATGGTGGGTGTCATTGCTGTTTAATCTCTCTAGCTCCAGCATGGATCTCAACATATGGCCCAATATAGGCACTCAATAAATATTGTTGAATGAAACCATTATTTCTCAGTTCTTTTCATAACTTTATTTATTTACAAATCCTTCTCTCCACCATATGCTTTTTCTTTCATGGATTCTTAAAGCCATCTTCTTTGTCTCTGAAGCACCTTAGTCTTTGAAATTTCAGAGCTGGCTTTCTATGTTAATTTTACTCTGCACTTTTCACTTTTAAACCTCCCTGTGGATCTGAGGCTGCCTCCAATTTGATCTCCTCTCTGCCTTCCTCTGTTTGCCTGAACTTTTGTTGCTCATTCCTCTCAGCTTGATTTCTAGGAAATCCATGGCTTCCTTCTTCTTTTACACTTCCACAAATGACTTTGAAATTTTCAGTTCTCACTTAAACACTTCTTGCTGCTTCCTCCTGCTTCCCCCTCCACCCATCTTAGCAAATGCTTTGCCTCATCATCAGTAAAACTCTCTCTCTCTCTCTCTCTCTCTCTCTCTCTCTCTCTCTCTCTCTTTTCTTAAACTCTCTCTCTTTCTCTCTCTCCACAGTTCAACCTCTGCACCACTATAAGCTTTCTCATCATGTGGTTTCTCTTTTGGTTAAACCCATTATTTTGACAGTTTATAGACTCTTTTCTGCTTCACCTTCAGTCACACAGCTCTGATTTAATACTAGGTTTCACATTGATTGTTTCCTTCTAGGTTAGAGCCATTATTGATGCCATAATATTTTATGTTCACAGAATATTTGGTCTCTAAGAACTTCTACAAGTGCAGTACATCTTGGAGAGGACAAGGGAGATAAGAGAAGTCATCAATTAAAAAAATATAACAGGTGCTTCCCCAGGAAACTAGAATGGCATCACAGCTTATTCTCTGAAGTTAATTAGTCCTTTTTTTTTTCTCACCAGACAGATTGTATTTCAGGACTAGAAGAGTTTGCATTCTTTTATATCTATAGTTATTTACTGCTTTGTCAGTGGTGTTCCATTGTTATGGGCCAGCGATGTCAATGAACACAGTAAACAAGGGGACAAAAAGTGATGGAGATGAGAAGAGTTTTGACAGTAACTACTAATATTTATAAATACTTCACCAGATAAGCCAGACCCTGTTCTAAACACATTATGTTTATTAACTTTTATCATCCTACCAACAAACCAATGATATAAGCATAATTGTTATACAAATATTATATCCTAACATAAGAAAGTAGAATTTAAATTCAAATAATTTAAATAATTTGTCCAAATTATACTGCTAGAAAGAGAGAGAAAAATGAAAAACAGGAGTAAAAGCCAAAACAAATTCATGAGTATGTCTTCCAGATGGGCTCAGAGCATTCTCTGCATGCTTTGGAGGGGGCTGACTCTAATAGCATGGTGGGAGTATCCATGGTTGAGGACAGCTGTAAGGGGTGGAGGAAAATGCCAAAGTAGACAAGAATTGTTGAATATAAGAGAGAAAACTTGATTAATGAATGACCAGTTGTGTGGAGATGGAGGTTCTGGTATCCTGCCAGAAAGCATGTCCCAGGATAGTAGGGTAGTCATGCTTTCTGAAGGAAGTACTCCTATCTTAAATGTCAGGTAACACAAGTCACGTGGTAGCTATTGTTCCACACTGGTGGCCAAGGGATATATGGATCAGGATCCCTTGGATCTATAATCCGCAATGACTGAACCTGTGATACTGATGTCATTGTGGTTTCAATACCTGACATTTCTTTCTGTTCCCATAGGACACTCTAGATTGTAAATAGGAAATGAAGAAAAAGGGATTTATCTACACAATGGGAGTGTAGAAGCACACATGTTCTTGCTAAATCATCCCAAACATTCTTCAAAGACACTGGAAGTCATAACTCGAATAAAGACTTTAGTAAGGAAGCATGCTATCATTTTCCTTCCATTAGTCAAACACTTAAAAGCATATCAGCAATGGATCCCCATCCCCAGGTATAATGATAACATTCCTGAAGCCTTTCTCCATCGTCCAACTGGTGAAAACCCACTCATCCCTCAAACCTCAGTTCATCTGATTGATACCTCTTGGGACAATCTTTAATTCCCCCAAGGAACTTGAGGTACTCTGCATTTCTATCTGTATGGCACTCAGTGCTTCTTTATAATAGAAGTCACTGTATTTCCCTATAATCCTTTCTTTATTCCTTCCCTGTCAGTGGACCATAAACATCTTCAGGGCACAACCCTACTGTATAGAAGTCATGTTATAGACATTTATATTCAGAGCAGGGAGATAATCAAATAGCCGATGTTCAGTAAATCTATGAATAAATAATAAAAACATGAATGAAAAAATAAATGAATTTTGCCAATCCATAATCTATCTTCCAGTGGTCAATCAGAAAGAAAGATG